GTTGATGGTGTTGGTGGTGTTGATGGTGTTGGTGGTGTTGATGGTGTTGGTGGTGTTGATGGCGCTTGTGTGAGGGAGACGACAGGTGGCGAATTGCATACATAGGGCGAGGGGACATCTGTGGGGTAATGAGGACCTGGTATGGGGGTGGGTCGGTGTCGACACTCTCTTCCATCCAATCAGATTATTCGGTCGCAGGGGGTCACCGGGGTCGCCACGTCTTATGGGGGTCAGACGGGGTCGCCATGTGACCAAGGTCAACCAGGGTCAACTATTTTTATTGACACGTGGTCAGTTCGAATAATTCAACTCTGTCGTGTCGGGAGCTTATGCAAGCATTAATGTGATGTTAATGGCATGTTAATGGCATGTTAATTGGATGTTAATTCACGAGATATTATTCTCAACCAGCTGACACATCTGGTCATGTGACGTCACCAGGTGCTTCAAAGTCACTGAGGCGTGAAACACGACAACAAGCAACAAAGTGGCCACTTGACACGAGATGGCCAAGATATGCTGGTTCAGGTGTTGATGGCCAAGATATGCTGGGTCAGGTGTTGATGGCCAAGATATGTTGGGTCAGGATTTGATGGCCAAGATATCCTGGTTCCGGTGTTGATGGCCAAGATATGCTGGGTCAGGTGTTGATGGCCAAGATATGCATGGCCAAGATATGCTGGGTCAGGATTTGATGGCCAAGATATGCTGGGTCAGGATTTGATGGCCAAGATATGCTGGGTCAGGTGTTGATGGCCAAGATATGCTGGGTCCGGTGTTGATGGCCAAGATATGCTGGGTCCGGTGTTGATGGCCAAGATATGCTGGGTCAGGATTTGATGGCCAAGATATGCATGGCCAAGATATGCTGGGTCAGGTGTTGATGGCCAAGATATGTTGGGTCAAGTGTTGATGGCCAAGATATGCTGGGTCAGGATTTGATGGCCAAGATATGCTGGGTCAGGTTTTGATGGCCAAGATATGCATGTCCAAGATATGCTGGGTCAGGTGTTGATGGCCAAGATATGCATGGCCAAGATATGCTGGGTTAGGATTTGATGGCCAAGATATGCTGGGTCAGGATTTGATGGCCAAGATATGCTGGGTCAAGTGTTGATGGCCAAGATATGCTGGGTCAGGATTTGATGGCCAAGATATGCTGGGTCAGGTTTTGATGGCCAAGATATGCTGGGTCAGGATTTGATGGCCAAGATATGCTGGGTCAGGTTTTGCTGGCCAAGATATGCTGGGTCAGGTGTTGATGGCCAAGATATGCATGGCCAAGATATGCTGGGTCACGTGTTGATGGCCAAGATATGCATGGCCAAGATATGCTGGGTCAGGTGTTGATGGCCAAGATATGCTGGGTCAGGTGTTGATGGCCAAGATATGCTGGGTCAGGTGTTGATGGCCAAGATATGCTGGATCAGGTGTTGATGGCCAAGATATGCTGGGTCAGGTTTTGATGGCCAAGATATGCTGGGTCAGGTGTTGATGGCCAAGATATGCTGGGTCAGGATGTGATGGCCAAGATATGCTGGGTCAGGTGTTGATGGCCAAGATATGCTGGGTCAGGATTTGATGGCCAAGATATGCTGGGTCAGGATTTGATGGCCAAGATATGCTGGGTCAGGATTTGATGGCCAAGATATGCTGGGTCAGGTGTTGATGGCCAAGATATGCTGGGTCAGGATGTGATGGCCAAGATATACTGGGTCAGGTGTTGATGGCCAAGATATGCTGGGTCAGGATGTGATGGCCAAGATATGCTGGGTTAGGTGTTGATGGCCAAGATATGCTGGGCCAAGATATGCTGGGTCACGTGTTGATGGCCAAGATATGCATGGCCAAGATATGCATGGCCAAGATATGCTGGGTCAGGTGTTGATGGTCAAGATATGCATGGTCAAGATATGCATGGCCAAGATATGCTGGGTCAGGATTTGATGGCCAAGATATGCTGGGTCAGGATTTGATGGCCAAGATATGCTGGGTCAGGTGTTGATGGCCAAGATATGCATGGCCAAGATATGCTGGGTCAGGATTTGATGGCCAAGAAATGCTGGGTCAGGATTTGATGGCCAAGATATGCTGGGTCAGGTGTTGATGGCCAAGATATGCATGGCCAAGATATGCTGGGTCAGGTGTTGATGGCCAAGATATGCATGGCCAAGATATTCTGGGTCAGGTGTTGGTGGCCAAGATATGCTGGGTCAGGATTTGATGGTCAAGATATGCTGGGTCAGGTTTTGATGGCCAAGATATGCTGGGTCAGGTGTTGATGGCCAAGATATGCTGGGTCAGGATTTGATGGCCAAGATATGCTGGGTCAGTTGTGATGGCCAAGATATGCTGGGTCAGGATGTGATGGCCAAGATATGCTGGGTCAGGTGTTGATGGCCAAGATATGCTGGGCCAAGATATGCTGGGTCACGTGTTGATGGCCAAGATATGCATGGCCAAGATATGCATGGCCAAGATATGCTGGGTCAGGTGTTGATGGCCAAGATATGCATGGCCAAGATATGCATGGCCAAGATATGCTGGATCAGGTGTTGATGGCCAAGATATGCATGGCCAAGATATGCTGGGTCAGGATTTGATGGCCAAGATATGCTGGGTCAGGATTTGATGGCCAAGATATGCTGGGTCAGGTGTTGATGGCCAAGATATGCATGGCCAAGATATGCTGGGTCAGGTGTTGATGGCCAAGATATGCATGGCCAAGATATGCTGGGTCAGGTGTTGGTGGCCAAGATATGCTGGGTCAGGATTTGATGGCCAAGATATGCTGGGTCAGGTGTTGATGGCCAAGATATGCTGGGTCAGGATTTGATGGCCAAGATATGCTGGGCCAGGATATGCTGTGTCAGGTTTTGATGGCCAAGATATGCATGGCCAAGATATGCTGGGTCAGATGTTGATGGCCAAGATATGCATGGCCAAGATATGCTTAGTCAGGTGTTGATGGCCAAGATATGCATGGCCAAGATATGCTGGGTCAGGATTTGATGGCCAAGATATGCTGGGTCAGGATTTGATGGCCAAGATATGCTGGGTCAGGTGTTGATGGCCAAGATATGCATGGCCAAGATATGCTGGGTCAGGTGTTGATGGCCAAGATATGCATGGCCAAGATATTCTGGGTCAGGTGTTGGTGGCCAAGATATGCTGGGTCAGGATTTGATGGTCAAGATATGCTGGGTCAGGTTTTGATGGCCAAGATATGCTGGGTCAGGTGTTGATGGCCAAGATATGCTGGGTCAGGATTTGATGGCCAAGATATGCTGGGTCAGGTGTTGATGGCCAAGATATGCTGGGTCAGGTGTTGATGGCCAAGATATGCATGGCCAAGATATGCTGGGTCAGGTGTTGATGGCCAAGATATGCATGGCCAAGATATGCATGGCCAAGATATGCTGGGTCAGGTGTTGATGGCCAAGATATGCATGGCCAAGATATGCATGGCCAAGATATGCTGGATCAGGTGTTGATGGCCAAGATATGCATGGCCAAGATATGCTGGGTCAGGATTTGATGGCCAAGATATGCTGGGTCAGGATTTGATGGCCAAGATATGCTGGGTCAGGTGTTGATGGCCAAGATATGCATGGCCAAGATATGCTGGGTCAGGTGTTGATGGCCAAGATATGCATGGCCAAGATATGCTGGGTCAGGTGTTGGTGGCCAAGATATGCTGGGTCAGGATTTGATGGCCAAGATATGCTGGGTCAGGTGTTGATGGCCAAGATATGCTGGGTCAGGATTTGATGGCCAAGATCTGCTGGGCCAGGATATGCTGGGTCAGGTTTTGATGGTCAAGATATGCTGGGTCAGGTTTTGATGGCCAAGATATGCTGGGTCAGGTGTTGATGGCCAAGATATACTGGGTCAGGTGTTGATGGCCAAGATATGCTGGGTCAGGATTTGATGGCCAAGATATGCTGGGTCAGGTGTTGATGGCCAAGATATGCATGGCCAAGATATGCTGGGTCAGGTGTTGATGGCCAAGATATGCATGGCCAAGATATGCTGGGTCAGGTGTTGGTGGCCAAGATATGCTGGGTCAGGATTTGATGGCCAAGATATGCTGGGTCAGGTGTTGATGGCCAAGATATGCTAGGTCAGGATCTGATGGCCAAGATATGCTGGGCCAGGATATGCTGTGTCAGGTTTTGATGGCCAAGATATGCTGGGTCAGGTTTTGATGGCCAAGATATGCTGTGTCAGGTGTTGATAGCCAAGATATACTGGGTCAGGTGTTGATGGCCAAGATATGCTGGGTCAGGATTTGATGGCCAAGATATGCTGGGTCAGGTGTTGATGGCCAAGATATACTGGGTCAGGTGTTGATGGCCAAGATATGCTGGGTCAGGATTTGATGGCCAAGATATGCTGGGTCAGGTGTTGATGGCCAAGATATTCTGGGTCCGGTGTTGATGGCCAAGATATAAAAAAAATTCTTTTCTTTTCACTTTTGATTAAATCATCGATCTCTGTATCGCTTCTGTGGAGTTTTAGCTGTCAGTTGTCAGTTGTCAGTTGTCAGTTGTTCGAAGGGGGTTGGGGATTAAAGAAAATATTTTAGTCGTATGAAATAACACGCCACAACTCTGCCATACACAAACATTAGCCACTACTTACATTTTTTTATGTTAAACACTAGAAATTGTCACACATCATCAACAGTCACAGACCAAAAGTTGTCACACACATCGACTATAACATAGATTTGTCACACATCATCAACAGTCACATACCAAAAGTTGTCACACACATCGACTATAACATAGATTTGTCATACATCATTGACTGCCACACTCATGTTCACTGACCTCTGACCTATCTAGTCTATCACGACACGAGCACAGATCCCTGTACTTACAAAACTATGACCCCAGCAATTATTGAATTATAACCCCATTACTGGTTGAACTATGACCTCTGCATTAATTGAGCTGATTAAACTCTGACCCCCAGAATGAAGACTAGAGGCAGGATGTTTGTGTAGCCCCACCCCCCGCCCCAACCCCCCTCACTTCTACTGATGAAACAAGGGCGGTTACTCCAGCTGCTGGCTCAGGCTTTCATCCTCATCTGTAAGTACATCATACATCATCTTTGTTTACCACTCACATCAAACGTCATCTTTGTTTACCACTCACATCATACGTCATCTTTGTTTACCAATCACATCATACATCATCTTTGTTTACCACTCACATCATACATCTTTGTTTACCAATAACATCATATATCATCTTTGTTTACCAATCACATCATACATCTTTGTTTACCACTCACATCATACAATATCTTTGTTTACCAATCACATCATACATCATCTTTGTTTACCAATCACATCATACATACATCTTTGTTTACCAAGCACATCATACATCTTTGTTTACCACTCACATCATACGTCATCTTTGTTTACCAATCACATCATACATCATCTTTGTTTACCACTCACATCATACGTCATCTTTGTTTACCACTCACATCATACGTCATCTTTGTTTACCAATCACATCATACATTATCTTTGTTTACCACTCACATCATACATCTTTGTTTACCAATCACATCATACATCATCTTTGTTTACCACTCACATCATACATCTTTGTTTACCAATAACATCATACATCATCTTTGTTTACCAATCACATCATACATCTTTGTTTACCACTCACATCATACAATATCTTTGTTTACCAATCACATCATACATCATCTTTGTTTACCAATCACATCATACATACATCTTTGTTTACCAAGCACATCATACATCTTTGTTTACCACTCACATCATACGTCATCTTTGTTTACCAATCACATCATACGTCATCTTTGTTTACCAAGCACATCATATATCTTTGTTTACCACTCACATCATACATCATCTTTGTTTACCAATCACATCATACATCATCTTTGTTTACCACTCACATCATACATCATCTTTGTTTACCAATCACATCATACATCATCTTTGTTTACCAATCACATCATACATCATCTTTGTTTACCAATCACATCATACATACATCTTTGTTTACCAAGCACATCATACAACATCTTTGTTTACCAATCACATCATACATCATCTTTGTTTACCAATCACATCATACATCATCTTTGTTTACCAATCACATCATACATACATCTTTGTTTACCAAGCACATCATACATCTTTGTTTACCACTCACATCATACGTCATCTTTGTTTACCAATCACATCATACGTCATCTTTGTTTACCAAGCACATCATATATCTTTGTTTACCACTCACATCATACATCATCTTTGTTTACCAATCACATCATACATCATCTTTGTTTACCACTCACATCATACATCATCTTTGTTTACCAATCACATCATACATCATCTTTGTTTACCAATCACATCATACATCATCTTTGTTTACCAATCACATCATACATACATCTTTGTTTACCAAGCACATCATACAACATCTTTGTTTACCAATCACATCATACATCATCTTTGTTTACCACTCACATCATACATCTTTGTTTACCAAGCACATCATACATCTTTGTTTACCACTCACATCATACATCATCTTTGTTTACCAATCACATCATACATCATCTTTGTTTACCAATCACATCATACATCATCTTTGTTTACCAATCACATCATACATACATCTTTGTTTACCAAGCACATCATACAACATCTTTGTTTACCAATCACATCATACATCATCTTTGTTTACCAATCACATCATACATCATCTTTGTTTACCAAGCACATCATACAACATCTTTTTTTACCAATCACATCATACATCATCTTTGTTTACCAAGCACATCATACATCATCTTTGTTTACCAATCACATCTTACATCTTTGTTTACCAATCACATCATACATCTTTGTTTACCAATCACATCATACATCATCTTTGTTTACCAATCACATCATACATCTTTGTTTACCAATCACATCATACACGCATCTTTTTTTAGCACTCACATCATACATCTTTGTTTACCAATCACATCATACATACATCTTTATTTACCAATCACATCATACATCATCTTTGTTTACCAATCACATCATACATCTTTGTTTACCAATCACATCATATAAACATCTGTTTTTACTTATCACATCATACAAACACCTTTGTTTACCAATCACATTATACGTACATATTTTTTAACCAATCAACCAGTGTGGTAGTGTGGTACCTTCAGTGTGGTAGTGTGGTACCTTCAGTGTGGTAGTGTGGTACCTTCAGTGTGGTAGTGTGGTACCTTCAGTGTGGTACCTTCAGTGTGGTACCTTCAGTGTGGTACCTTCAGTGTGGTAGTGTGGTACCTTCAGTGTGGTAGTGTGGTACCTTCAGTGTGGTACCTTCAGTGTGGTAGTGTGGTACCTTCAGTGTGGTAGTGTGGTACCTTCAGTGTGGTATCTTCAGTGTGGTACCTTCAGTGTGGTAGTGTGGTACCTTCAGTGTGGTATCTTCAGTGTGGTACCTTCAGTGTGGTAGTGTGGTACCTTCAGTGTGGTACCTTCAGTGTGGTACCTTCAGTGTGGTAGTGTGGTACCTTCAGTGTGGTACCTTCAGTGTGGTAGTGTGGTACCTTCAGTGTGGTACCTTCAGTGTGGTACCTTCAGTGTGGTAGTGTGGTACCTTCAGTGTGGTAGTGTGGTACCTTCAGTGTGGTAGTGTGGTACCTTCAGTGTGGTACCTTCAGTGTGGTACCTTCAGTGTGGTAGTGTGGTACCTTCAGTGTGGTATCTTCAGTGTGGTACCTTCAGTGTGGTAGTGTGGTACCTTTAGTGCGATACATGACAATGTAAATAACTTGCTGAACTATCGATGACCTCTTCTAAAGTCAGCGTGACCTTCTATCCTAGGGTCATCTCCACAAGCTCTGGCATCTGCACATCATCCAGAACTTTCTACAAGCACATCTCCCTCACAAGGCAGTCCTATCAGCTCAGACACAAGCAGCTGGTTCATCGCTGGTGACGAAAGGGAGACTTCAACGCCTTCATCACCACAGCCATCTCCTCACCTCTCCCCTACTCTACTTCACCTACCTCCTCAGCCAAACGCTGAAGTCGAGCAGACGTTGAGCAGGGTCACGAGACCCACGCACGAGCTTCACTCAGCCAAGGTCAGAGTCAGGCGCAATGACAAGGTCACCAGCAAGTTCACCGGTCTGGTCGTGGGGGCGTCAGCCAGCCTACGTCTGCAACAGTCGGTCAAGGTCAAGCTGCAGGCACTAGAGGCCTCCATCTGGCAGCTCCAGGCCCAGGTCACGCGGGCCCACTCGGCCCGGGCCCCGGGCTCCGTGCTGGGGACCTTCCCCGCCACCCTCAGGACCAACTTCCACGGCGAGCCGGAGCTGAGAGCCGCCCGGCTGAGCCCGGCTTACAGCTTGCCGGAGCTGGAGTCGCTGTCCCTGCTCTTGGTGCTCCAGTGTCTGGCCGAGTCGGTCATCTACGGCGGCTCCAGGGTCGTTGCCCCTGGCAACCTGAGTCTGGCCATCGACTCACTCAAGGAGTTCCACAGCCGCTCTCACAATAGGGGCAGGTGAGGTCTTAGGTCATTAGGTCATCAGGCTTAGGTCATTAGGCTTAGGTCATTAGGTCATTAGGCTTAGGTCATTAGGCTTAGGTCATTAGGCTTAGGTCATCAGGTCATTAGGCTTAGGTCATTAGGCTTAGGTCATTAGGCTTAGGTCATTAGGCTTAGGTCATTAGGCTTGGGTCATTAGGCTTAGGTCACTAGGCTTGGGTCATTAGACTTGGGTCATTAGGCTTGGGTCATTAGACTTGGGTCATTAGGCTTGGGTCATTAGACTTGGGTCATTAGACTTGGGTCATTAGGCTTGGGTCATTAGACTTGGGTCATTAGACTTGGGTCATTAGACTTGGGTCATTAGACTTGGGTCATTAGACTTGGGTCATTAGACTTGGGTCATTAGACTTGGGTCATTAGACTTGGGTCATTAGACTTGGGTCATTAGACTTGGGTCATTAGGCTTGGGTCATTAGACTTGGGTCATTAGACTTGGGTCATTAGACTTGGGTCATTAGACTTGGGTCATTAGACTTGGGTCATTAGGCTTGGGTCATTAGACTTGGGTCATTAGACTTGGGTCATTAGACTTGGGTCATTAGACTTGGGTCATTAGGCTTGGGTCATTAGACTTGGGTCATTAGACTTGGGTCTTTAAAGTTAGAAGGTTATTAGGCTTAGGTCATTAGGCTTAGAAGGTCATTAGGCTTAGTTCATTAGGCTTAAGTTATTATTAGGTCATTAGGCTTAGAAGGTCATTAGGCTTAGTATCTTATTAGACCTAGAAGGTCATTAGGCCGAAATAAGGCACGTGACTTCTATATTTAGCTCGTTCATGACACTCTGGCCGGAGAAGGTGTCTGGCGCCATGGGTTTTGTCGTCATGCCGGAGAATCTGGTGCTGACCTCGGTCAAGGACGGCACGACCTTCAGGCAGTTGGAGTCTGTCAGCAAGTCATGCAAGTGTTCAGCAGCCAAGTCAAGCGTGGAGAAGATAGCGGGGAACAGGTGAGTGGGGGGAGGCATACAGGTAGGGGGGGCGTACAGGTGGAGGAAGGGGCGTACAGGTGGGGAAGGGGCGTACAGGTGGGGAAGGGCGTACAGGTGAGTGGGGGGGGGCGTACAGATAGGGGGAAACAGGTGAGTGGGGGCTTACTGGTAGGGAGCGGGGGCGTACAGGTAGGTAGGTGTCGTACAGGTGGGGAGGGGACGTACAGGTAGGAGGGGGTGTACAGGTAGGGATGGGGGCTTATACAAAAGTCACTCATTACGTAGGGGAGGCTCACACTACATAGCTGGACCCTCACAATATAATGGGACCCTCACAATATAATGGGACCCTAATGGGACCCTCACGATATGTAGAAGCCCTCATAGTTGAGGGGAGAATCAGATTGAGTTGTTTCTTGCAGCAAATGCCGACAGCACTTTGACCGACCAATCAGCGAGGAAATCTTTGACCCGGCCACGCCCCCTGATCTCATGACGTCATTCTCCAACCTGGCCCTGGGCGCCCTACTTTACGCCAAGCACGCAGACGGCAAGGCAGCAGATGGGGACATTTTCAAGGTACCTTCCTTCGTGTGTTAGACACTCGGTGACGTCACACTGTAAATATACTCTCTACTTCTTAACGTCATAGATTCATTGATTGACAGCTTTGAATGAAATATACCATACTAAGCCCCGCCCACTCCAGCCATTTTGTTTTTGTTTATTTCAGACCGAGCTGAAACTGTGGCTGTCAGAAAACACGGCTGTAGAACAGCTGGTACAGCAGCTTCGGCTACTAGCTGTTCGGTTTTCATCTACAGCTAATACCACAGCTGCTAAAGCTACAACTAATACCACAGCTGCTAAAGCTACAACTAATACCACAGCTGCTAAAGCTACAACTAATACCACAGCTGCTAAAGCTACAACTAATACCACAGCTGCTAAAGCTACAACTAATACCACAGCTGCTAAAGCTACAACTAATACCACAGCTGCTAAAGCTACAACTAATACCACAGCTGCTAAAGCTACAACTAATACCACAGCTGCTAAAGCTACAGCTACAGCTAATACCACAGCTGCTAAAGCTACATCTACAGCTAACGTCACAGTTGCTAAAGTTACAGCTAATACTACAGCTGCTAAAGCTACAGCTACAGCTAATACTACAGCTGCTAAAGCTACAGCTAATACCACAGCTGCTAAAGCTACAGCTAATACCACAGCTGCTAAAGTTACAGCTACAGCTAATACTACAGCTGCTAAAGCTACAGCTACAGCTAATACTACAGCTGCTAAAGCTACAGCTAATACCACAGTTGCTAATATTACGACTACAGCTTACAACTCTACAATCCAATTTAAAGCTGTAAAATCAGCTCTAGTGCTAGACACTCCACCAGACACTCCACCAGACACTCCACCAGACACACCACCACCAAGAAATGGGACCGCGAGTGTTGTGAAGAGAGACGCCGAAGACATCCCCAGCCTTGGGTCAGAGGGTGATAACTCTGTACAGAACTCTTCAAAAACTGGAATTTCCCCAGTTATTTCCCTTAACGAAAATACAACATACATACATCCAAACCTAACTGGTACCCCAAACCTAGACAATAAAACAGACAATGAAACAGACAATGAAACAGACAATGAAACAGACAATGAAACAGACAATAAAACAGACAATAAAACAGACAATAAAACAGACAATAAAACAGACAATAAAACAGACAATAAAACAGACAATAAAACAGACAATAAAACAGACAATAAAACAGACAATAAAACAGACAATGAAACAGACAATGAAACAGACAATAAAACAGACAATAAAACAGACAATGAAACAGACAATGAAACAGACAATAAAACAGACAATAAAACAGACAATAAAACAGACAATAAAACAGACAATAAAACAGACAATAAAACAGACAATAAAACAGACAATAAAACAGACAATAAAACAGACAATGAAACAGACAATGAAACAGACAATAAAACAGACAATGAAACAGAACATATACGAAATACTGAGGCAGATGAAAACGCAGACTTGAAAAATGAAAACGCAACCAACCAGACGATTCAAGCAGTAACCGTCAATTTAACGCGACCCGCCACAGACCTTTCAAAGACTCAGCCCACAATACCATCCACACCATCCACACCTCCATCAACCCCATCACCCCCCACTCTACCATCGCCAGTATCGATACCAAAATCAAAGACAGATCCGATTACAAAACCAGGTCACGTGAGCCAGGTCCTTGACCCCATTTCTTATTTTGGACTGAAGCCTTTCTTGGACGCCGAACTAGCCAAAGGTCACCCTGACCTCTCCCTCCCTCCACTCTGGGTAAGATGTGCTGTCGTCTGCTCTGTTGCACCTGTAGCTGACCTGCGACCTGACATGACCTTGGCCTTCACCTTTTGTTTCTCAGATCTCAGATGGCACCGGCCAGCGTGATGACGTCACACACAACGGCCGCCAGTACCACAGCTACAACAGCATCGACCTGACGACAACAGCCGCCGTCCTGCACGGTCTGGTTCTAGCGTCAATGGCGGGGCTGATTGAGGTCAATGACCCGGAGTTACAGGTGAGAATTGGGTTTGTTACAGTCTTACTAAAACATGACATTTGACTAAAATATGACATTTGACTAAAATATGACATTTGACTAAAACATGACATTTGACTAAAATATGACATTTGACTAAAACATGACATTTGACTAAAACATGACCTTTGACTAAAACATGACATTTGACTAAAACATGACCTTTGACTAAAACATGACATTTGACTAAAACATGACCTTTGACTAAAACATGACATTTGACTAAAACATGACCTTTGACTAGATGATGTCTTTCAGTTAATCATGACGTCATCCCTGCGCATGCTCACGTGGTACATGCAACACCCCACGGAACTGACGTCATCGCTTGGACTCTCCAGGTTCCCGTCCAGGTACCAGCTGTACTGGATGACCTCTAGGACAGCCTTTCAGCTGACCTCGACAGCCCTGCAGGAGTACAGGCTGTTTCAGGTGGGTACAGGCTGTTTCAGGTGAGTACAGGCTGTTTGAGGTGGGTACAGGCTGTTTCAGGTGGGTACAGGCTGTTTCAGGTGGGTACAGGCTGTTTCAGGTGGGTACAGGCTGTTTCAGGTGGGTACAGGCTGTTTCAGGTGGGTACAGGCTGTTTCAGGTGGGTACAGGCTGTTTCAGGTGGGTACAGGCTGTTTCAGGTGGGTACAGGCTGTTTCAGGTGGGTACAGGTTGTTTCAGACAGGCTGTTTGAGGTGAGTACAGGCTGTTTCAGGTGGGTACAGGCTGTTTCAGGTGGGTACAGGCTGTTTCAGGTGGGTACAGGCTGTTTCAGGTGGGTACAGGTTGTTTCAGACAGGCTGTTTCAGGTGGGTACAGGCTGTTTTAGACAGGCTGTTTCAGACAGGTTGTTTCAGACAGGCTGTTTCAGGTGAGTACAGGTTGTTTCAGGTGGGTACAGGCTGTTTTAGACAGGCTGTTTCAGGTGGGTACAGGCTGTTTCAGGTGGGTACAGGCTGTTTGAGGTGAGTACAGGCTGTTTCAGACAGGCTGGTTCAGGTGGGTACAGGCTGTTTCAGGTGGGTAGAGGTTGTTTCAGGTGAGTACAGGTTGTTTCAGGTGGGTACAGGCTGTTTCAGGTGGGTACAGGCTGTTTTAGACAGGCTGTTTCAGGTGGGTACAGGCTGTTTCAGGTGGGTACAGGCTGTTTCAGACAGGCTGGTTCAGGTGAGTACAGGCTGTTTCAGGTGGGTACAGGCTGTTTCAGGTGGGTACAGGCTGTTTCAGGTGGGTACAGGCTGTTTCAGGTGGGTACAGGCTGTTTCAGGTGGGTACAGGCTGTTTCAGGTGGGTACTGGTTGTTTCAGACAGGCTGTTTGAGGTGAGTACAGGCTGGTTCAGGTGAGTACAGGCTGTTTCAGGTGGGTACAGGCTGTTTCAGGTGGGTACTGGTTGTTTCAGACAGGCTGTTTGAGGTGAGTACAGGCTGTTTCAGACAGGCTGGTTCAGGTGAGTACAGGCTGTTTCAGGTGGGTACAGGCTGTTTCAGGTGGGTACAGGCTGTTTTAGACAGGCTGTTTCAGGTGGGTACAGGCTGTTTTAGACAGGCTGGTTCAGGTGAGTACAGGCTGTTTCAGGTGGGTACAGGCTGTTTCAGGTGGGTACTGGTTGTTTCAGACAGGCTGGTTCAGGTGAGTACAGGCTGTTTCAGGTGAGTACAGGCTGGTTCAGTTGACTTTCTAAAACCAAACGATTTCCTGCTTCCGTGTACATCTACTTCCTGTTGCCTAACGTCCTGTTGCCTAACGTCCTGAGGCTTTAGTTTGCAGACGGAGTTATCGGACCATTTGTGACGTCGGTACGTAATGAGATGACGTATGCCATCCTGCAAAACATCGTGGACGGTGGGCTTGGAGCAGACGGCAAAACTCGGGTCTACATAGACGACATTGTGGGCACAGCAGATCTGGATGACAAGGGAGCTAAGAAGGTGGGACTAGCTAACAATTGTAATTTATTGATTATTTCCCTTTGACCGTTAAATTTTTATGTTTTGTTTATAACAATTGTAGCTTATTGATTATTTCTTTTTTCACCGTTACATTTTTTTTTCGTTTTCTTTTTTAAAGTCTATAACCTTATGTAATACTGGAATTCCATTTTTATTTGCGAACATATTAAAATGTTCATTAAATCGAAGTAAATTTTTGATCACATTGGTGTAGCAGCAGAAGTTTAATTATATGTATACACGCACACACACACACACGCACACACACGTACACACATATACAAGACGTTTTTAAAATCCTTCCCCCCCCCCCCCCCCCCAGGTGAGCAGCGATGACCGCCTGTTCTCGTCTGCTCTGGCCATCAACACGTTGATCGCCGCCTGGACAGTGCTGCAGCCAGACGGCTCGCTCAAGTTCATTGAAGGTAGGCGGGGCTAGTGCGCAGTGGACATGCGCAGTGACACGGCCGACAGATGACGATAGGGACTGACACGTGACAGACCAGACTGACAACATGACATCACGTGATAACCGTTCACCCACATCACGTGACCATCTGTCCCCAGCGACCGACGACTCGGTGCGAATCGCTGTCAACAGTCTCGTTAATTACGTCACCAGCGCCGTTGATGACGTCAACGCTCCACAGGAGAACGCTTTCATGAGCGAGCAGGTGAAAAGTTGTCAGGTACATCAAGCAGTTAAACTTACCTGTCTATATCTAGCAGTTAAACCTACCTGTCTATATCTAGCAGTTAAACCTACCTGTCTATATCTAGCAGTTAAACCTACCAGTCTATATCTAGCAGTTAAACCTACCTGTCTATATCTAGCAGTTAAACCTACCAGTCTATATCTAGCAGTTAAACCTACCTGTCTATATCTAGCAGTTAAACCTACCTGTCTATATCTAGCAGTTAAACCTACCTATCTCAGGTATATTTAGCAGTTAGTTAAAACTAACCTCTCATGTAGATTTAGCTGTATCAGCTAAATCTACAAGTTGCGTGTAAAATTAAAAAAAAACAGCTTATTAGATCAGAAGTGCACTAAGTTAAACGATTTAATTAAATATTGATTCAACTATGAAAGGCATGAATTTTATAATTATATAAAAAGCATAAGGCCAGTAACACATATTAAAATAGATTGTATTGTCAAATAAAACGGGTAGCTTCCCTTGGTATAAAATGAAAATGTCTTTAAGAGATTACTCAATTCACTTGATCAAAACGTCTGATTACTGACCTACATGCACTGACCTACATATACTGACCTACATGCACTGACCTACATATACTGACCTACATGCAATGACCTACTTTACTTCCAGACTTTGAGCCATCTCTTCCCCTCCAACCTGGTCAGCCAGCGTGACGTCATCAGCCGTGACGGCAAGGCGGTCAAGCTGTCAGTACCCGGGGTCAAAGGTCAAATCCCCAGTGACCTCTACACCAAACAGGTCACCGCGTCACCTGACCTTAAAGACCTTCTCAACAGCGACACAGCCGTGTTTCGGTTTTGGTCTTCGTCAGCCTACACCAGAGCTGCCTGTTTGTTGGCCATTGCACAGGCGGCCAACCTGCAGGTTGACAGGAAGAGTTGACCGGACAACATTTTAAGGGCCTGTCTTTTATGGGTCTGTCTCTTAGGGGCCTGTTTTTTTATTTTTTAATAACTTCGGCCCCTACATGTGCGTTTAGCTAGAAATAGCAAGAAAATCCCAACCATAGCATATTGTGGGGAAATATTTTTGTTAAAGGTGAAGGACGACTAAACTGACGTCAGTCGACAATAAAAGCTGACTCATCAAATCTTTTGCTTCCATTTTCAAACTTTACGAGTGTGTTTGTGTTATCGACCCGGGGGGTGTTTTCGACTACGAAGTGACGTCATCAGTTTATGCGTATTTATGTGGATTGACCTAGATCCTCTCATATGATAAGCCTCGGGGCGAATCACCCTGGGTCAGCTGATTATAAATACCGAGCCTACATTGCTAGGGATTAGGATAAGCTCAGGCAAATAATCAGAGCTAATCTAAGCTCCAGGCTAAGGAGCTAATTGATACCAGATTTGTCCTCAGAAATATCTTCTGCCCCTCCCACCCCCCCCCCCCCCCCCCCAGCTTTATACTACACCATTAGTAAAACGAAGTAACTACATTAACCATAAGCCTGTTATCTTACATTAACCATAAGCATGTTACTTTACATTAAACCAAGCCTTGTTAGTGTTATGTAAAGTTTCGCTGTACGAACTTTATTTGTTGTGTAGTGTTCGTAAACTGAGGGACCAGGGGGGGGGGGGGGGGCACACCCTCATATTTATTAAACCGCCTCTATGAAACCATATGACGCCATATGACGCCATATGACGCCTTATGATGCCAATACACAAAGCAAGTTTTGAAAATCGATTTACAAACTGATAATACACGTACTGGGCAAAACACATAACACAGACGCTAAATTCATGCATTAAACACAGACACTAAATACATGTATTAAACACAGACACTAAATACATGTATTAAACAGACACTAAATACATGTATTAAACACAGACACTAAATACATGTATTAAACACAGACACTAAATACATGTATTAAACACAGACACTAAATACATGTATTAAACACAGACACTAAATACATGTATTAAACACAGACACTAAATACATGTATTAAACACAGATACTAAATACATGTATTAAACACAGACACTAAATACATGTATTAAAAACAGACACTAGGTGCATGTATTAAACACAGACACTAAATACATGTATTAAACACAGACACTAAATACATGTATTAAACACAGACACTAAATACATGTATTAAACACAGACACTAAATACATGTATTAAACACAGACACTAAATGCATGTATTAAACACAGATACTAAACACATGTATTAAACACAGACACTAAATACATGTATTAAACACAGACACTAGGTGCATGTATTAAACACAGACACTAAATACATGTATTAAACACAGACACTAAATGCATGTATTAAACACAGACACTAGGTGCATGTATTAAACACAGACACTAAATTCATGCATTAAACACAGACGCTAAATTTATGCATTAAACACAGACGCTAAATTTATGCATTAAACACAGACGCTAAATTCATGCATTAAACACAGACATTTGTTACACTTGGCTAAGTATTTTTAGGCTCCTTTGAGCAAGATGTACCAATAGTTAATAAAACACAATCCACACAGAGAATCTGTATTATTTACGTGTAATTTACACCAACCACAAGAAAATATGTGAAATGAACAGTGACGAGTGATTTCACTGTGTTAACATCACACAACCTTCCTTTCCACACTCTTTCGTTCACACACTTCTAGCACACACTTTCTAGGGGACACCACTCTCACCCTCTCTCTCCCAGTGCCTACACATTTCATTGTAGACAACCACGGTACACAACAGAGATACAAGAACCACCATACACAACACACACACAACACAACACTACACTCAACACACAAACACAACACACACACACAGCACAACACTACACAACACTCAACACACAAACACAACACACAACACACACACAACACAACACAACACAACACAACACACACACACACAAAACACTACATACCACTACACAACACACATTAAACACAGCACAATACAACACATTAAACACAACACAACTTAAATAAACACGAATAAATCCATGTAAATGTTTGTTTGAAACAGCTGATTGATCTATTCAACATTCCCAAACCTACAACAGTCGAGTTGGTCCAATATCTGTTTCGTCTTTTAACTTTTTTTTCTTGTTTGTTTTGTTATGTGACGTAATAAGTTCTATAAATAAAATTGTTTCAGGTTTTCTCAGTTTTTGTTTTATTTTAACTACATGCTAAACTACAGGTTAAACTACATGCTAAACTACAGGTTAAACTACATGCTAAACTACAGGTTAAACTACAGGTTAAACTACAGGTTAAACTACAGGTTAAACTACAGGTTAAACTACTGGTTAATCTACAGGCTAAAGTACAGGTTAAACTACAGGTTAAACTACATGCTAAAGTACAGGTTAAACTAAAGGTTAAACTACAGGTTAAACTACAGGTTAAACTACATGCTAAACTACAGGTTAAACTCAGTGGCGGAACTAGAAAAAAATGGCCACCCCGCAAAAAAATTTTTTAGGCCCCCCCCCATATATATATATACATATATATATATATATATATATATATATATATATATATATATATATATATATATATATATATATGTATATATATATATGTATATATATATATATATATATATATGTATATATATATATATATATATATATATATATATATATATATATATATATATATATATATATATATATATATATATATATATATATATATATATATACAAAATACGAACACAGCATAGGTTACTCATTGCTGGCCTGTTCGGGTTTTGAAAATAAAAATGGTTTTTTTTTTCAATTAAAACAAATTATTACATATTTTCATGTGTAAGTGCGTTGGTGTGTTTTTAGAAAAACAGTTTTATTTTATTTGCTTTGGGTTCTTATAACATCAATTTGGTCAAATGAATATAAAACATGAAATCTTTATAGAAGTAATGGTGTCTCGTGTTATGATTATTATTTTTTTTTTTTTTTTGTATTTATATTATTAATTTTAAATATATTTCCTTTTTATACAAGGTCATTCTTTAGTAAGTACTTTATGAAAAAATATTTAGTAACAGAATTAATTGCTTTTTAATTTGTTTAGTACAAATCTATTAAAAGGAGCTTATGAGCACACCAATTTGACTATTTAAAAAAGGGGAAATAAGTCATGGAAGTGGTTTTAACGTTTGCTTATCTTTGTTAGGTTTAATTGTAGAAGAGAGAGGACTTGGCTCTCACAGTGGTTTAAAAAGAAAGGGAAAAAGAATATACAAGAGCGTGGGGATGGTGTCTATAGAATAAATATAACCAAACCGCAGCTATGGTAATCGTTTTACAAAACAAACATCAAGTAAAAAATTGCAAGAAAATTAGATTTTTTTTTAACTATTAGGGTCGGCCGTGGGCCCCTAAATGGCGTGGGCCCCCCCGCATTGCGGGGTCTGGCGGCACTGTAGTTCCGCCCCTGGTTAAACTACTGGGTAAGCTACGAACAATTTAACGGTAAAACTACATAAGAAACTACTGGTAATTCTACAATCACTGTTTCTTTCAGACATTTTTTCCTGGGGTTGGGGGGGGGGGGGGGGGGGGCACTGTTAACTTTCTTAACGAAACTGCCGGGCTTTCTCAGAAGATTTAAATTCTGGCCTTAGAAGTTTCCAGAAGATATTTTTAATTAGGTCACTGCCAGCAAAGCAAAATTGTTTTCCTTCTACAGCCAGCATCCCTTGAAGTTCCGGCAGTTTTGATTGGATAAGGCACAAGTGACGTCACAACCTTGACTTGTCCTTTTAATTAAATCCGTTTAATGACCGATAGTTTAAATGGCCGATAGTTTAAATGGCCGACACATAACAATGCAGATCTGGATGACCTGTGTTTATTTTACCCACCCCCAACCTTTTTTCTAACACCCCCACATCACAACACCACCACACCACAACACCACCACACCATACCACCCCGCATCACAACACCCCCACATCACAACACCCCCACATCACAACACCCCCACACCACAACACCCCCACACCACAATACCCCCACACCACAATACCCCCACACCACAATACCCCCACACCACAATACCCCCACACCACAATACCCCCACACCACAACACCCCCACATCACAATACAACACCCCCACATTACACAAGACACCCTCACACCACAACATCCCTACATCACATCACACAACATCCCAACACAAAACCCTAACACCATATCACACTACAACACTCCCACAACCACACCACAACACCCCACACCATACCACATTTTGAAACCAGTTCGAACTGTATTTCCCACACACCTCCCACACACCATCAGTCCCCACATACCCCCACCCCCACCATGTCCCCCACCCCCACCCACCATGACCAAATGAAATGACTGTGTTGTGAGGTTTCCGGCTATTTGAAAACTGCCCCCTGTTGTTGACGCGGAGTTCCCTCCCCTGCAATCTGATGACGCTAGCAGTGGCGTCCCCTGAAGCCCGGAGCGCCAATTTTAGAGAGGCTTCTCATTAAAACCATTCAAGGTCTCACGAGAAGCCGTCGCCACCTAGCGGCCTCGGTGTCAGGGGCTAGAATAACATTGGGGAGTGTGGGTACGAGGCCAACCGGCTCGCACTTTTACACGACACATTTCTCGCGTTTATTGAATATTTCTATTTTTTTAAAGTAATGTACACTCAAGTTTATGGTTACCCACGTGATCATTACCCACGTGAAGTTTACAACAACCTCATATCACCCCCCCCCCCCACCCCATGTCACATAAAAATGTCTCCTACCCTCTGGCCCTATGTATACTACCATTGGTGTAACAAGTGAACACACATGGCACACACGGCACACACGACACACACGACACACACGACACACACGACACACACGGCACACAC